AGTATACACATGATTATAAACATTTAAGGCTGACTAATATTCGATATCAGAGAAAATCTTTCTATAAATAAAACCTGTCAAAATAAAAATGAGGCCTATTGGTCTGTTATTGAAAACTCACTTCATTTGTTTCACTTTTATCCTTTCCTTTTTCGAAGTAGAGCTTGATAGTGAACGTCATTGTGTTTGAATTTCATGAGAGAATATAGAAATTAAAATGCAAATTTCAATAATAGAAGTAATAAGATTTAGTTTCAATTGAAATGTAAGGTATGAACATAGTATATTATTCTTTCAGTTAGGAGTGAAACTAATTGTAGATACGTAGTCAATTTGATAGTAAGACATACATGATTTTTTAATCATAAATTTAATTCAATCTTTAATCTAGTACAAGATTCTTTATTGCACATTTTTATGATAACACCCTTTATTGAGATTCCATTCATCATTTTTTAAGTTTTCATTGCTTTCTAATCAAGATCTGTAATAGAATCTATATCTGGTAATTGAATAAGTAAATATTTATCGAATTTTTCCGGTTTATTCTCCAATCGAGAGTTTCATATCTCAACTTTTTATCATGATTTACCTAATTTCATTATATAGCAATAATTTTCCTTTTCTAATTTATAAATAAAAATACATTTCATATCAACAAATCATTTTATTTGTGCATTTCGCTCTATGATTCAATAGTAGAATATTGCAGTCAGTGACTAACATGATTAAATGAGAGATACAAAGAAAAAAGCAGCTCTTTACAATATCAGAATTAGTTTAGTGGTTAAATAATACAATAAACAAAAAAACTCGATGAAATCGATTGTCCTGGATATCCTACAAAATATTAATTACATATCACCACCACGAAGTCGAAGTACAAGATGGAGTGTACTTTCCTTTTGAATATTGTAATCGCTGAGTGTGCGACCATCTTCAAGTTGTTTGCCGGCAAAGATAAGACGTTGTTGATCTGGTGGAATACCTTCCTTATCTTGGATTTTAGCTTTAACATTTTCAATGGTGTCACTTGGTTCAACTTC